GGGGTGGGGATGGAGGGAACAGCGTGAGGGAGGGTGGTGGAGGGGTGGGGATGGAGGGAGCAGAGTGAGGGAGGGTGGTGGAGGGGTGGGGATGGAGGGAACAGCGTGAGGGAGGGTGGTGGAGGGGTGGGGATGGAGGGAACAGCGTGAGGGAGGCTGGTGGAGGAGTGGGGATGGGGCGTTGTGTGTGTATGAAAATGTCTTTGTGGATCCTTCTTACACAACCAAGGTAGCCAATAAGATATTTTAAAAATACTGAAGCCAGCCCAGCACTATGGCTCACGCCTGTAACCCTAGCGACTCAGGAGGCTGAGGTCTGAGGATCGTGGTCAAAGCCAGCCGAGGCAGGAAAGTCCATGAGACTCTTGTCTCCAATAAATCACTCAGAAAACTGGAAGTGGGGCTGTGGCTCAAGTGATAGAACACTCGCCTTGAGCTGAAGAGCTGAGAAACAGTGCCCAGGCCCAGAGTTCAAACCCCACGACCAACAAAAAAAAAATATTGAAACATTGAAATTTCCTTAACCTTTTAGATGGTAAATTCAGTATACACACACCCCATTAAGCAAACTCTCAGTGACACAATAAAATATTTTAGGGAAATTTATTTTCTAAAATATGTGCGCTCTTCTGAACTCTTTTGTGTCAGGATTTCATCGTCTTTCCTAATACATTTTGTAATTGAAATAAAAGCTGCGCGTTTTTGTGAAGTGCCCTGTGATGCTTTGGGAGCCCACAGCCTTAGGCCTGCAGGACAAATGCCAAACTCAACCCCCAGGACCACGTGACATTCTGATACATGCATACATTGGATGATGTTTAGATCTGTGTAAATATGTTTTCTCAAACACCCGTTCTTTGTGGTAATTTTGTATTACTGTAAAGATGCTGTGCGAGGGGTTACAGTTACGTGAATGAGGTAATGAGTAAATCTGTTGACGCACATTGTGGTAAACTTTGGTTTAGAGCCTGCAGCTTGCTAGCATCGTCTGCACCACCTCGGCAGGCCTGATGATCTCCTCCGTCACTGTACGTGGTGCTTCTTGCCAACCCCTCCCTGTGTTCTTCCTCCCTTTTCTGAATTACAGATACCTTTAATCACCTTTGCCTCTAAAAATCAGTACTAAACCCCGTGTCAGCACACTGGAAATAATTTAGTGGGTTGTGCTACCATTCATCTCTTTCCAAATGGTGGCCGTTTGAAGTCAGCTGTGACAGGAATATTCACACCACAGACGGAAAGGGCTAGAAGCCAGGCTTTGCTCTTCCATTTATTATCCAGAATTAACAAAACTAGGGAGAGAATGTTCTTCATTCAGTTATCTAAGAAGTGTATTTTGTTTATAACCTTTAAATTAAGTAGAATACAAAATTGAGGAAAGTTATATGACAACTGTTACTTAATCGAGAATAACCTTGCTCATGTCACCAACAAGTTCTGACATACATATTTGAGATTTCCGTTTCATTTTACTTGCCAACGTAAACGAGAACGTCAGATAGCTTTATCTCAGATTCAAACATATTCATCAATAACATGAGCATCTTCTTTCTACATTAGATTATAACCAGGCAGCTTTCTGTGTTGTGACTCCCTGGCACACTGTCATGGCAGAACTATGATAAAACCCTAGAGTGGATTTTGCAGGAATTCTTAAGTCACAATGAGTGAACAAAGGTTTGGACAAGAGGAGGAATGGAGATACACTCCAGGGCAGGAAGAGCAGAGAGGGGAAGGGAAGGTAATGGAGATGGATGCACTGAGCTGAGCGACAGTGGTCATGAAGGAAAGGAGAGCTATATGGTTCACGGAGTGACTGGTGTCTAGAATGATTATTGCCAATGGCAAATCTGCATTTACTTTGTTAGAGAAGTTTAGTTAGATACTCAGATTTATCACACAGCATTAGTAATATACAAGATTTTCAAAGGAAAAGCTATTTTAAAATCCATAAATTATGGTTTTAGTTTCACTCAGGATTCTACATAAATCTCACAATAGGTCTGTAGTTTTTTGATGTGTTCAGTTTAATATTCACTCTTGACTCGTGTAATATTCAGTGTGGTGTGAGCAATGTAAGTCTAGTAAGCCAGGGCGTATGATCGGTAGCCATGCCTGAGAACCAGCCCAAAGCCAAAAGAGAATGTGGCTGCAGTCATAAATCACTGGCCTAGCTAGTATGCAGTCATGAGTCTGAACCCCAGTACGGCCAAAAAGAAACGAAAACCTGATTTACCGTAGGTAGGTCACAGTCACCCAAAGTGATTGCTGATACGCGTTTCTGCCACCCTGTGTTTCAGGCCTACGACGATGGCTGTGTGGGTGACTATGAGGCCTATGACAGCAGCTACGCAACCCAGACGCAAAGGTAAGCGCCACAGGAGCCTGTCTGTCAGTCCCAGCAGCTGACCTCCTCCGGGAGCCTGTCAGTCCCAGCAGCTGACCACCTCCAGGTCCCCTAAATGCCTGAGAATAGCAGTGCCCCTGCACACAAGGACGGCAGAGTCTGACCTGAGACTGGTGAGTGCCTCCCAGTCAGCTCACTGAACAGAACAGGCTTACGTGTGGCCAGTATTATTATTTTGTAGGAATTATGTTAGTGAACAATAAAAGAGACACTCGTCCAAGGGGATTTACTTTCCTAAAATGTAATTTTCATTTATAAAATCAAACATTAAGGAAATATTACTGGCTCCTGACAACAGAAAATGTCTTTGAATAGCTTATGAAATAAAAAATTCCTCCTTTTTTTAATCTACCTTTATGACTGTTGATAATCTCTCTTTAGCTTGACCCCAAATTCATGATTTCGTAACAGTCAGACCCGTTTAGTGCTGTTTACATACAGGATCCACCGAGTCAGCCCAGTGTGACTTCCGCCAGGCTTAAGATGAGCATGCCTTTGTTGCTGCCTTCTCCCAGAGCCTCTGGGGGCCTCATGAGTCTCAGATTCCACGTAGCGAGGGCTACAGCCGGGAACCACGGGCTCCTGGCATTTTTGCCTTTTTTAAATGAATATACTTTATATACAAAGATATTTTCCTTACACTTCTGTCTTCTCTGGTCCCTTTCTTTTCCGCTAAATTTTCTATGGCTAAATTCTTCTCATCCTCCCATTCCTGGATCAAAAGCTCGTTCTTCCCATGGCTCTTTCCTTGACACTTGTTTCTACAGACCATCCTTCTCTGCTGGCGTGGGGAAAGCTTGTGTGTTCCTTGTCACACTGTGTTGGCTCAGATCCTGTCCTGGTGTCTTCTCCTACCCTATCATAGAAACTATGCTGGTTCTTTCACAGGCCATGTGGTAAATGGATGTAAAAAATGTTCAGTAGTATGCAGACTCAAAATCTCATTACTCAGAGAGGATTAAGCAGCAAATTCATAATTATGTGCATTATATTTCCTGATCAGTGTTTTTCTCAGAGCTGAATGTTAAGGCAAAAGTGACAGAAAGCAGGTCATGAAATTATACTAATGCACCAAATTACAATTATAAAATGTTTGTTTTGTGCAAAATCATGCCCTCGGTGCTAACATAGTATCTGCCATACAAGACATTGCCAATAAGATTTGTTCAATAAGTTAATTGAAAATGAATGAGTGAGCCAGGCGCCGGTGGCTCACACCTGTCACCCCAGCTACTCAGGAGGCTGAGATCTGAGGATTGTTGTTCAGAGCCAGCCTAGGCAGGAAAGTCCATGAGACTCTTAGCTCCAGTTAAGCACCAAAAGTGGCCCTGTGGCTCCAGTACTAGAGCACCAGCCTTGAGCACAAAAGCTCAGGGACAGTGCTCTGGCCCTGAGTTTAAGCCCAAGACCAGCACAAAAATAAAAAATGCATTAATGAATGGAATATTGTTCCAAAATCTCAGCAAGAAAGGCAGCAATAGAAATGATGGCCACTAGGAAATTGGCAGCAGCCTATTAAATGTTTTCCTTCATGTTGTTTCCACTTTTCCAACTGGACCAGAAGGCAGATTCACAGTTCAATTTGGGATACAACTCAGGGACAGAGGGCTTGCCTAGCATGTGAGGGGCCCTGGCCTTCACCCTCAGCACCACAGAAAATCTGTTTAAGTAAATGTTTGTTAAGTGGTGGGGCATGCCAGAGCACATAGTCACCATGCAATGACAACTTAATACTTGATGTTGCTAATTTGTGTGAGGGTTTGTAAACTGTTGAACAATTTAAGTATAATCAAATAATTAAGTGTCATCAAGTATTAGGAATTTGGGGTGAGAGGAAGATCACTTTTTATAAGAATTAGTCCTGGTCTGTTTTATTGGGGGGGGATGATGATTATTGTAGACTTTGTAGCATTTGAGTTAAGGGAAAGAAATATTTTCCAAAACAATGAAAGAATGAGCATAATACATCTCCAGCATTTACAAACAATTTGAATATCATCTTGGCGCAGTATAAATGTTATTTACTTTTTACAGCCAAAATAATAAGATATGATAATTCAGAAGTCTGAAGTTTAAATGATACAATTTTTGTGACTTAGGAGAAATGAGATAAAAGGTAAAAATTTTCAGGGAAGTTATTCATTAAATGTCTGGTTAGTACAGGTTACTGCAGAATCGGTGGAATAATTATGGCTCCCGTCATGGAGTCGATGGAAGGTCACAGCCCTTCCCAGGTTCATCATGAGGTCAGAAGCTGTAACAACTTTAATTAGCCCCCCATGTGTGCAAGACATCATTAGTTGTGGAGAATTTCAAGTGGATCAGAGCAGGTGCTGTTCTGAGATTACTTGGGAGGCAGCCTCACTGAATGGCCTTGGTACCTTGTGGTATGAGGGGTTGATAAACATAGTTTTCTCTTGCTCTGTACCATTGCCCTTTGCTCCTGGAAGGGAAAAAGTAAAGAACTAGACTGACAGGTTACTATGCAACCCTCAAATCACAGGACTGCTGCTGTAGTTTCCAGGACAACTTGCTTATTTGACACTTTGGCTTAAGACAAGCTACATCCTGCAGTTCACACCTTTAATTGGACCAGGCAAATTCTGCTCATGTTCTCATATCCCATTTTTCATGTGCTCCTTGAGGACATTAACATTTGCAGAGATCAAGCTTCTGAAAGCACGCAATTTCGAAGGATTTGGCCATTTCCCGGTGCCAAAATTTGAAACAAGAATCAATACCAAATCAAATCACAAGTGGAAAAAAAGTACCTTTATGTACTTAGATACAAGGTACTTTCATTGCAAATGAAAGTCAAAAGATCAGTTCTGTATCTTTGATTCTAACAGTAATTTAAGTTTGAAATGAAATGTTCAGAATTCACAGTTTTTCAGAGCAAATATTGAACTGTAGGTAGGAGTAACAGAGAAAGCACAAAGCACGTGCCAGGGGGAACTCATATAGCCTAGAAGGAGCACGTAGACCTCCCTCTGCAGTATGACACACTTATTGAAGAAGTTTCCTAAACTAAAGGCTCATTTTAATGTTTTTAGTTTACCCAGTGGGGGGGAATAAGACTTTTCAATTAGACTAATTTGAGGAGTGTTTTGTGCAGGTATTATTCTCAGTGGAAGAATACTATTGGGGTTAGCATACCTCGGGTGAGGCAGAGAGCTGTAAAAGAGGCCGCCTGACGTCCCAGCCCCAAATGGTCATATGGTCATAACACAGCAATGCCACCAGGGGATTAGCACTCCGGCTTACCCCGGCCCTCCACCTGCTCTTCGCAGCCTCCCACCATTGCCCCCTTGGCTGGACCCCGGCCCCTCCACCTGCTCTTCGCAGCCTCCCACCATTGCCCC